TAAAATTAATATTTTAAGATACTATTTAAGAAAATAAAAGAATAGAATTTTGTGGCTTTTGGAGAAGGTTGAAAAGTTTGGTTGAAGGATATGTAGGGACACGCGGTGGAAGAATTTTGACTTTCAAGGGACCCTTCTGTCCCACCCACCAACATGCAAAGCCAAAACAAGACAAAGACATCACATGCCAAAATTTTAATTTAGATTTCTCGCGAACAGTTGTGTCCCCCCTAGGCAATATGGTTGTCTTTAAACTCCTTGTGATTAGACGGCTTTTTTTTTTATTGGGGACCCAGTCAGGTAATTAGTTATGATACGTGGGTTTCAAGTCTGATGTTTGAACAGAGTATTATTATACATAGAAAACTTTTAACGTTTTAATAATTGACATGTCACACATTTAAAAGAGAAGCTTACAATGATGAGAATATTAAAGAAAGAATATAAGAAGATACCAGAATCTCTAAGGTAACAAAATGTTGAAAGCCTTTATAAAAAAAAAAAAAAATCATTTTGAATTTTTTTTACAAATTATAAATTTATGAACAAGTAAAGCTGTAATAAAAAGCTTAAATTACGAAAAAAAGTTATTTTTTATTTTTTAAACTACGTGATGGAACTTGTATATAGGCAGTGAGACAAAGGTACAAACCCTAATTAAAGAGACAGGGCGCAATAAATGGCTAATTCTAAGTTTTCCATTTTAAATATATATACAACGTGGGACAAAAGTAACGAATCCTAAATGAGTTCTATGGGACTTAAATGTATCTGTGTGGGGCCGCGGTTTTACTGAAAAATAAAAAAAGAAGCAAAGGTGAATTAGTTTTAGAAACTTAAAGAAAATCTTTTTAACAGTCAAAAGCCTAAAACATGAGTCTTCCTTCGTTCTCTGCCGAAAGAGGCCAATAATAATTTATCCACCACATATTGTGGTCAGCCAATCAAAATGATGATCCAATCCACGCCCACACCACGCGTCACATGGGGTTAATAAAATAAAATATCGCATTTTAAGAACATAAACATATGTCTTTTCTTTATTATCAGTATATACAAACAACATATCCAACTTATATATAATAATGCTTATCATATATATAACGAATGATTTGTTTATGATATCGTTTGATACTATTGTAATGTG